TTTTTTTTTTTTTGAGAGGGAGTTTTGCTCTTGCTACCCAGGCTGGGGTGCAGTGGTGTGATCTCAGCTCACTGCAACCTCTGCTTCCTGGGTTGGAGTGATTCTCCTGCCTCAGCCTCTGAAGTAGCTGGGATTACAGGCGCCTGCCACCATGCCCAGCTAATTTTTGTATTTTTAGTAGAGACGGTTTCGCCATGTTGCCAAGGGTGGTCTCGAACTCCTGACCTCAAGTAATCTGCTCTCCTCGGCCTCTGAAAGTATTGGGATTATAGGCACGAACCACCGCGTCCTGTCAATAAAGCTTTTTTCCATCTGGACTCTTCTTTTACATTCACAGCAGCCCAGTGTGGTCAATAGGGTCCCAAGATAGAGAGGAGACTGTGATGCGCAAAGAGGAGGCTCTCTTAAAATGACAGGGACTCCACCTCTTTCCCTGAGACAAGATTGCCTGGAATTTTCAGGACTCTTGGCCCTCGGCTGTTTTGTAAGATGTCCATGTGGGCCTTGCCCTCTGTGCTTTTTCTTTTTGGCTGTGAAGAGGAGAGAGGGCAGGAGAACCCAGCAGCGGGGCTGGCGCCATGAGCAGAGCGTCCAGGCTCAGGGCATTGGGGTGGCCTCCTGAGAGGCAGCAGCTACATGGGGAAGAGATAGTGCTGACGGCTGGAGGCTACACAGGCCAGGAGCCTCCTGAGTGTGATGGGACTTACTGTCCTCCATGGTACCTCTGCCTGCCCCTCCCTGCCACGTTCTGATAAATGGAAAGGCGGGTTTGAGGAAAGGACAGGCTTTTCCATCTCTTGAGGGAAAAGTGGGACATGAAAGCCAAATGGGAGCAGGAGGAGAACAGCCTGACCCAGGGACGAGCTGCTTTCCTCTCCGCAGCGCAGCTTTGAGCGCAGGGGACATGGAGAAGGACTGGGCTGTCACCTTGCCCAGAACTCTTGGTGGGAGACAAGACCTCCTGAACTGGGTGGTCCCGGGGAAAATGGGCTGGCTCAGAGAACCCAGTGGGCGCCTGTCATGCCACGACTCCAATCCATCACCACCGCCATCTCCATCTCCTCTCCTGCCCCTCCCGCTCTGTCTCACCTCAGCTATCCCTGTTGTATTTTCCACAACTGCCCAGGGAGCAGCCAGGGGACTCCATTTGGTGCCGTTCCACTGGCACCCACCAGTCAGCCAAACAGCCTCACAGACGTGGGCAGCTTCCTGGGACCCGGGGTGCCCACTGCAGGTGTTCCTAGCAGGTAGGTATGGACAGTGGGCAGTCTGCTCTAGGGCAGGAGAGCCGCCCGAAGCCTGGCCTTGCTCCTCCCAGCCCCATCAGCATCTCCTGGCGGTTCTCCCTTCCCTTCCTCTCCCTCACTCACCCTGAAGAGCAAGGTGGGTTGGCATCTCCTGGCCCCTCACTCAGGTTTGCTTGGCCCTGGCAGCTGTGCATGACTTCTCTCTCCCCGTGTCGCAGCCTTTTCGGGATGGCCGGCCAGGTCCCCCCACTCCAGTCTGTCACGATGGGCAGCAGCAGCAGCACAGGGCTGGCCTTTGGAGGTGAGTCCTGCCTGTGGAGACCCAGGGGAGGGGACTCTGGACAGGGTGGGAAGGGGATAGATTGAGAGGAATGCTTAGGCATCACAGGATGAAGCAAGTGAGAAAAAAAGTAACCATCTCTCTCTCCCTCTGCTCCCCATTCCACCTGGGCAGCCTTCACCAACCCTTTTGCAGCTCCCGCCGCCCAGCCCCCACTGCCTTCCACCAACCCATTCCAGCCCAATGGCTTGGCGCCAGGTAAGCCTCCAGCACAGTCCCTTGTCCTGACCGTCTGAGACTCCCAGGGCTCACATTACCCTGCAGTCTCTCACTTAACCCTTTGTCTCACGCTGTCGGGAGAAGCAGACAGCCTGGTTCTTCCCCTGCCCACACGGTGCCAGGCCACCTAGCACCCAGGTCACAGAGCCAGAGTTTAGAATTAGAAGCACACAGGCAACTACTTACCGGAGACCACACTGAAGACTGTTTTAAAGTTGACCAACAGTGGCAACGATTCTCCTGTCTCCAGCCCTCGGCAGTGTCCCTTTGGGCACCCAGCCCCAGTCTCTTCTGTGCCCCGAAGATTAAGCCACCTGAAACACTCACGCTGTTCCCTGCTTCCATCAGTTCCAGGCCTGTGGTCTCCTCTCACCCCAGCCCTCCCCAGCCTCTGCTGCTCTCCCTTCAGACTCATGCTGGCTGAAGCCTCGAGGCCGGGGAGAGAGGAATAAGAGTGAATGCAGCAGAGCTGTGTGGTGGCCCTGATTTAATCTTCACAGCAGCCCTAGGAGACGGACTGTCCCCATTTTAGAGATGAGAGAACTAAGGCACAGACAGCGTTAGAACTTTGCACCGTTTTTGCAGTTTAGCAGGTAGTGGGAGGCTAGCCCAGTCCTGCACCATGCCCGTGCCTGGAACCACTATGCCCTCCCTGCCACGCACCCCTGGGCAGGGAGAGGGCAGGGTTGTTTGGTGGTGTGAGAAGCAGAAGAGTTCCATGGCTGGTTCAGGGTATTTCTGCTGGGTCCCTCACTTCTCATGTCAGGAAAAAACTATATCCCATTTTCCCATCTTGGAGGGACTTAGGAAAAACAGTTCTCCAGCCCACCTTCCAGAAGTTCACCCGAACCTCTCATTTCTCACTTCATAGGGCCAGGCTTTGGGATGAGCAGTGCTGGGCCTGGCTTCCCCCAGGCAGTGCCACCCACCGGGGCCTTTGCCAGCTCCTTCCCAGCACCGCTGTTCCCCCCGCAGACCCCGCTGGCTCAGCAGCAGAATGGTAAGAGCTGCAAATGGACAACCCCTTTCACCCCGTCCAGTCTCTGCATAGAGATCAGTTAGTTGTCCCTCCGACCTCATCAGAGCCCATGCAGTGCTGTTTCTGACCAGCAGGGGGGGACCAGGGAAGCGCCAGACCTGCCCGGGTACTTCCACTGCTCCCTTCCCTTACTCCCCCAGTTTAGGAGGGCCTCCCTTGCTGTCTGCCTGCAGGAAGGTGGGCTGGTGTCAGCTGAGTGACTGCTCTCGCCCCCCAGGCTCTTCCTTCGGGGACTTAGGATCAGCCAAGTTGGGGCAGAGGCCACTGAGCCAGCCAGTTGGGATCTCCACCAACCCCTTCATGGTGAGTACCCCAGCAGGGGTGCTGTGGTACGGTGAGTGGGCTTTCCCTCTGGGACAATCCTTCCAGAAGAGGCTGATGTGAGGTGGCCCCTGCGCCCCTTCCTCGTGAAGGTCTGCGTTGTCCAAGCCAGGGCTGAGCTTGGGCCTCAGCTCTTCTGGGCGCTGGCATCTCCCATGCCATTCCATCCCTGTCCTTGGCTCCCTTCTCCCTCACTTTCCTTTTTTTTTTTTTTTTTTTTAAGATAGTCTTGCTCTGTCTCCCAGGCTTGACTTCAGTGGCCCAATCTCGGCTCACTGCAACTTCCACTTCCTAAGTTCAAGCAATTCTCCTGCCTCAGCCTCCCGAGTAGCAGGGACTACAGGTGTGCACCACCACACCTGGCTAATTTTTGTATTTTTAGTAGAGATAGGGTTTTCCCATGGTGGCCAGGCTGGTCTTGAACTCCTGACCTCAGGTGATCAGCCCACCTCAGCCTGTCAAAGTGCTGGGATTACAGGTATGAGCCACCACGCCTGGCCTCTTCTCCCTCACTTTCCCACTGCCCTCAGCATAGCGATTTTTCAGGAGAAAGGACTCCTGGCTGCCTTTCTTCTAAGCTTCCAGCTCCTCTCCCCTAACTGGAAAATGTGTTGTTCTTTCTTTCCAGACTGGACCTTCATCAAGCCCATTCGCCTCCAAGCCTCCAACCACCAACCCCTTCTTGTAGCACTGTGTTTTTGGGGGACCTCTTCCCTGCCTTCTGGGGCCCTCTGCTCCCTAGAGCTCTGGTGACCACTTACCTGTGGGCGTTTCTATGGGCCTTGGGGATGGTGGAGGTGCTAATGCTTTGCTTGGGGCCTACAGGTGAAAGGTGGCTGTCCTCAGATTCCACAAAACCTCTGCTCCCCTCCCTCGTCCCACCCCCACCCAGGCAGGAAGCCCAGGAGGAGTGCGGGCAGGGCCTGGCCTGGAGGAGTGATAGTTGAGGGGAGGGATTTTTTTCAAATGATCAGTTAGGACAGCTCCCTGCTCCCCTGCTCTCACTGCACAGTGCTCCCCCACTCCCAGCCCTGTGGGTGAAGGACATTGCGAGCACAGACTGGCCAGCCTTACCCCGTGGGAACAGCTCTTCCCTTGGCCCAGCTCGCCAGCGCTGTGCTCCTCGTGGATGGGAGTGCAGTGGGGAAGGTAGGGGAAACACGAGGCACAGTGTTGACGGGGCAGTGACCAGACAGTCCCGGGAGCCAGAAGGCCCAGGTGGCCCAAGTGCTCTTGGTGGCCCAGCTTGGCCAGCACATACTTTCCTCCTGCAGCACCCCCTGCTGAAGGGGTCCCCCATTGTTTTGCTTCCCCAGCGCCCAGGATGAGCGGTTTACCTTTGAGCTCACCCGGGCCCAGCTCCTGTCAAGCACTTTAGTTAGCTGTTGGTGTCATGTTTGGATACCAGTGTTTTATATTTATACATAGAGAGGATTTTCTAATATAGCCTATTATATATAAATAGATCTATCTATATGCACATACATATATACACACACCCAGCCGATCTCCCGCTCCCAGACTGCTCTCATATGTGGGGAATGGGATGAATCCCCAACTGTGCCTCGACCATCAAAGCCGGAGCTCCAGGGCTGGAGGGGGGCAGCTATGTGTCCTGACCCCCACCATTCCCAGAGCCTGGGTTTTCCAGGGAAAGGCTTTGTGCAATTGCCTGGTCTTTTTTTTTTTTTCTCCATGTGCCTCCCCATCCCCAAATCTCTGCACCAAAGCTCATTGCAGGCAGTGTTAGAAAAGAACTGCATTTGAACGAAAGAGAAAATGGCTCTCGTGGTTTGCTTCAGGGCACTTTGAAGGGTTGCAGGTCAGTCAACATGACTGATCCTTGACCTGGCTCTGCTGGGCTGGACTGCCCGGGCCAGTGATGATGCTGCCATTGGCCAGAGACAGGGCACAGCTGGTCCCTGTCTAAACAAGAGTCCTGCATTAGCAACGAGAAGCAGCATGGCGGGAGAGGGGCCGCCACTGCCAGGGACTGGAGTTTGTTTGATGTGAGGGGAATGCCCACTTGGGGTCAGGGTGGGCAAAGGAGGTTGGTGCCAACGTGGAGGTGGAAGTAGGCCCCTCCTGGGTCTGGGACATTCTCTGCCCCAGGCTCTTTCCACCTGGGGATGTTGTGGCAACAGCCGTGGTGTCTGGGCTATTTGTGCTGACAAGACAGACCTGGTCAGGGGGTGGGTGGCAAACACCTCACCTGGCTGGGCAGAGGCCGCCTTGCTGTTTGGCCCGAGGCCAGGAGAGGCCCCTCCCTTTCCACCATTGCCCTGGCCCCGTGGCCGTTCATTCTTGGGATTTGTCTGGGTCTTCCACAGAGAGCAGCAAAGAGATATGGGAATTGGGTGACTGGTGTATTTACTTTGAAGATTTTTCTGGAAATACCTCTAGCTGCTGCTATTTTCTAGGCCGGGCTTGGCATCCCTGTCTTTTCCAAAAATCAGGACCCATCTTTTCTGTTCCTGTTCTTCTCCCAGCCTCTGCCCTCCTTCTGTCTCCTGGGTAGTCTCCCGCTTCGCTCCCTGACCTTTGCTTATTCCATCTCTTCTCTTTCTCCCCTCTTTGCCACCCTAGATTATTTCTGTGTCCCTCTACCTAATACTCTTACCAGTTCTTTCCTTTCTGCTTAGAGCTGGAGGGAGGGCAGCTGGAATCTGTTATGGTGTATTAGGGGGAGGAGCCTTTCTGTTCTTCCCCCACCAGCTTCCATCACCCTTGCCTTATGCCAGGAGCACCGAGGTTTGGAACTGAGGCTAAACCGAAGGGCTTTCCCCCGCTTCTGTCACCCCATACTGTGTCCCGGCATCTCTTCACTGTCTGGGTCCAGACCCGGGTCCTCCCTGCAGACTCCCTCCCCTCCAGCCCACAAGGACTCCAGCCTGCTCGCTGCCAGAGCTGGATGAGCAGTAAGAAGTTAACGCCAGGTCAGCCTCAGGCCCCAGGGTTCTCTGGGCACAGGCTGACACTAGGAGCTGCCCTCCTTGGCTGGGGCAGCCTCAGCAACTCAGGCTCCAGCACAATGAGCCGCCTCTCCTGGAGAGTAGCAAAGAATGGAGAAAGGCCTGGCCTGAGAGGAAATGGAGAAAACATTGCCTGGTAGCTGCAGATTCAAACCCACTGCACACACCACGGGGCTACAGTGGCTTGCCTGGGCTCACACCAGTCTTCTGACCGTGCTCTGCTGACAGCAGTCCTCTAGCATGGCCCCAGCATTCAGCCAGGCACCTGTGGGCCATCCCCATGTGTGAGGAAGCAGGAGTCAGCCCCCAAGTGTCTCCACATTGGAGCTTACAGGTCAGACCTGCGGGCCAGGAGATGGGAGCAGGGCTGAGGGTAGGGGCTGAAGGTGTGGCTCTGTCCCTGTGTTGCCTTCCACAGAGGAGCAAGGCCTCAGGCTGAGGAAGGAAGGGCACGCTGGAACAGCCTAGTCTCTTCCCTGTGGATTCCCCCAACTCCATAATATTCCTCCATAGGGGCTGAGAACGCAGTGCCCCGTCCCTGACGGATGAAAAGTGTACCCTTGAGGTTGGGAGAGGCAGAGCTGAGGTTCTGCCACTTCCTGTCCCTGGGGAGCCACTCAAGTTACCAGGGCTACCAGCTGAAATATTTTCAGCGAAGGGCCAAGGGCAGTGTGTTGCCAAGGCAACTGATGTAGGCCAGTTGCGTGACTCCAGGCTTGTCCTGGTACTCAGTGGGTCCGATCACCTGGCATTGATCACCTGGCATTTATCAGCACCCACCCCACCCCTGAGGCTTGCCCAGACACCAGACCCTCAGATCCCTGCTCTTCCTGCCTTTCCTGCCCATGCATCACCTAGCACCCAAGGTTCAGTGACAGGGTGGTTTGGAGCTGGTCACTGTCATAGCAGCTGTGATTTCATAAGGAAGGGTGCTGCAGGGGGAGCTGGTTGATGGGGAATGGGAAGGGGAAGGTATAAAGAGATCTTCCTCAGGTATCTTCAAGTCTCAGGGAGTAAAAAAGGCTCCTGGGCCAGGAGTGCAGCAGGGACAGGGGCCCTTTGGTGGCCTCCTTGAGGCAGCAGCAGGACTGGGAGGGGGAGGGGCATGCACATGTCTTTTGTGACCCTGCCCCTTTGCACATGGTGCCTGTATCAAGGCCCTTGGCCATGTGGGGCTATGGCCTTGAACACAGTCCAGTTTTGGTGGCCATTTATGGAGCCATCGCCTCTCTGTGGCCAACACCTACCACTGGGCAGTTGCCAAGCCCCGCCCCATGCCCCCCCCCCCACCGCCCCACACCACACCGCCTGTGCTGTGAGCCTCTCCTGCACCCCAGTGGGGCTTTGGCTTACCAGGGGTCACCTGGAGCAAGCCTGCATGCTGGCTGGGTGCTGGTCGGTTCCCTGCATCTCCTTCTCAGTGTGACCTTGGAATAGGTGTGCGAGGACCCCAGCTCCATGTACACAGCACTTGTCTCCCATATTCCCACTCACGTGGGGCCCCTTCCCCAGGAAGCAGGAAGCATGGTGGGAAGCCCTGCCCGCCCTGCTCAGGCTGCCCTGGCCCTTGCACTAGGTCTGGGTCCTTGCTTCTGTTCTCTTGTTATGTCTTTGTCATATCTTGTCCCTTGCCTGAGGGAGCTCCTCCCTGAACGCCATCTTTATGGGGGCTGCACGTTGGCCTCTCCTCCCTGACTCTCAGCTTCCCCCTTTAGGCACCTTAGTCGCCTTGGGTGATATCTCAGGGTCCTCTAAGTTCCCGCCAGGTGTCACCTGCTGGTTTGTCTTGTGCACCTTCACCCCCATCCCCCTGGGGGGGGGTGGTCAGTGGTCCTTGGATCAGAACTGAGTGCAAAAATGTCCAGTCCCCAGCCCAATCGCAATTTTTTCAAGAAGCAAAGGGTACCTCCACCAGGAAGTCCACACATCCATAGTCAGAGCCTTCAGGTGGTCCTGGGGTGGCATTTTTGGGCAATGGTGGTGAGGAGGGACCCAGAGCAATGGGGCAGCCCGAGGGGGTCTTCCTGAGAGATGGCCTCTTCCTCCGAGGTCTCCTTCAGTGGCCACCTGACTGGGTTCCAGCGGGTATGGTCTGTGCACAGGGACTACCCCCTGAACCTACTTATTCCAAGTCACCTCCTATCACCCCCAACCCTCAAGAAACTGAATCTCCAGCTCAGACATAATCCAGCCTAGTGCTCAGTGATGGTGGCTCCTTGGGTTACTTGGAAAGGCACAAAACCACTCCTGGATGGGAAGGGGTTACACACAGGAAGGACACCTATAGGCCGAGGGGGGCGCGGCAGGAGCCGGCAGGGTGCGTGGAGGCCCCGCTCCACCGCCCTCTAATCGCCAGCGCCACCACCGCTGCCACAAGTCCGATCACACTGGCCTCACACGGAGGCTTTCTCGGTTGCCCGGACGACGTGTCCGGACCGCAGTCAGCTGATCGGTAGAGACGCCCCCACGCTCCCTGCCCCTGTAAAGGCTCAGTCTTGGCGTCGAGACCGCCTCTCTTGGACTTCCCTACTCAAATTCCAGCGCCCGGGCGACGTGAGGATTCGTCCCGTGGGGTGGGGGCTCAGGAGCGGTCGGCTGAGGGAGGGAGGTAGTGGGGAGCCCAGGCCACGGGCAGCAGCCACTGGGACACTCGCTGTGCGCAGAGCCCTTGCCCCAAACTTCCAGTCAGGAGCCCAGGAGAGACGCTGGACATCAAGACGCTGGACTCCCTGCCCGAGTTCACCAACTCACCCCCACCCCTGCTGGCCTCTCCCCGCGCTCAGGACACGAGACCCAGCCATCTCTGCCTCTCCTGCAGTCACTTTATTGCCTTCGGCCCTGAATGAAGCCCACGAGCGGCGGCCCCGGGGAGAGCCGGGAATGGCCGCCATGCCCCTCAGCCAGCCGCTGCCCTGGGCCTGCCCTGCAGACGTGCGACTCTGCCGCCACCTGCGCGCAGACCCGCCGCGTCCCGAGTCTTCTGAGAGCGATCAGAAG